TCCTCTTCCCCTGAGGAAATGTGGACTCTCTCTTGTTTAGGGTATTACAGGTGCTGGAACATCCACTGTTTCACAACAGCAGCTTCTCATAAGATACAAAATAAGAAGAATGGTGTTACAGTGCCTGTACTTGAGGGATTCGGGCAATGGTAGCCTTACCAGATTTTCAAGCGAGCAGCTTACTCATGTTCTGGGCTTAAATTTCATTTAATCCAGAATTTCTGAGTTTTTCTTTTTCTTGGTCCAGCATCTGAAAGGCCTTGTGTGTAATCCACCTGATATCTAAGGGGTGCTGCTCTTTGAAGCTACTTTTGTTTGTCTTTGTAAAATTCATGTGAACATTACTGTAAGTGCAGTCAGCTACTTAGCTGGGTGTTGGGGTTTTTTCTCACTGGGAAATTGTATATGTAGAAAGAGACTAACATTAATGTAATGTTTGTATCTGTGCTATGTGACTATTGGAGCCAAAATGTGCAGATCTGAGGACACTCCAAGTTTTAGGGTTAATCCAAGTGACTGTGCAAACCTGGAGGATTTTGTGTATAAATTATGAAAAAAAAAAAACTGAAATGAGATGAGATGGTCCTTCTCTAATTTGGATCTTTTTCTGGAATGCTGAGGTCATTTAAATCAGGTGGCTACAGACACTTTGCCCACGTTGGGGCTCCAGACTATTCTTTTTACGGTGGATGTTAGCAATGCTGTGAAAACTTCTGATGTGAACTGGCTGATAGCTCAGGCCCTGTCTGCCCTGCTAGGTGACCTGTCCAGGACACAGTAATCCAAAGGTGCGCATTGCAAAAGGGAAGGGAGCATTCTTAATCCAAAGCTGGTGGTATCTCTAGAACATAGCAGACCTTGAGACTGAGCAAAGAAAGGAAATTGAATGTCTGATGGGGTGTACTTTCCCAAATGTACTTTTTAAAAGCAAAATGCTGTCAAAGAGTGGGAAGCAGAGAGGCCTAGCTTTGTTTTGTAATGATATTTTGGGGCTCTGAGAAGTGTTGTATAGTTCTTGTGTGACTGACTGTGCCCTGGGAGAGGCATTGCTGGAAAAAGACAGCCTTTTCTTGGGACTGGGGGAGGAGGGGAAGAGTGAAAACGGGGCTGTGTGACCACCAGGTCTTCTCCAGAGGCTGTCCTAATACAGCTTAGAAGTGTGTGTGTGTGTGTGTGTGCTCACAGCTTTTCTGTGCTGGCAGCAGTCCCAGAAACATAGCTTTCAGCCTTGTGAATATACTGTGTCTGGGAATTGATGTAAACTATTACAGCAAAAGCAAAGCGCTGTTTTGCTGATACAAGCAGCATGTCCACAAGGAGATTTAGCAGGTATGGTTAGTCTAGAATGCGACTTAAGTGTTACTCATGAAAAAGCAACTGTAACTATGTCCGTTCATGAGTAGAGAAATAATTGGCTCAAATAATAATGCCAGAGTTCAATGTCTGGCTTAAGCAACAGCCAAAAAAAAAAAAAGGCGTAGAAATCTTTAAGAAGTCAACAGAAGCAACAAAAAAAAGTGTCAAGCTTGTGTTGAAAAATGTGAAAATCTTGATAAAATTTATAACTTGAGGATAAAGTAGTAGTTTGCTGCTCAGAGCTGCTTGAAGATTGGGGAAAATGTCTTCATTTAGCAGCCTGCTTTATCAATCTAGAAAGCAGGGAAATGGCAGAGACTTTACTGTTGGCCTCTTAGAAAGCTTTACCTTTTATGAGGAAAAGTACATGATAAAGATGTATATTTTGACCAAATGTAGCAAAATAATGTATTTTAAATGTGGAGTTCTTCTAAATGTATTCAGGTTGAAACTTGTCACAGTCAATACTCCTTGCCAACTAATTACATAACAATGAAACTGGTTTTTTGCTACCTGGGTAGTCTGAAGCTGAAGTTTGCTCTCAAATTATGATGTTATGAAATCTTTTAGACAATGTTTAAAATTGTATTGATAGTTTCTGCATGAAATGTGATTTGATGCACAAACCTGATGAATTACCATAGTTTATAGGGTATTTTTGCCATTCACTTTGGTAAAGTAATGAAATAAGCAAATAAGGAGTGCTTCAAAGCACTATCTTCAGGCCTGCAGGGATGGCACTGTCTCGTTTTCAGGGTTGGCTATGTTTCATCATCAACTTCCCAGGTGGTGTAAAAACATCCTTTATGCCCAGCTGCAGAGCTGGTAAGCCATGTGTTGTTTCAACAAAATGATACTGGGCATAGTCAGTAACAAACTACTGAACCGTGGAAGGAAATGAAGGATTTCTTGTAAACCAAGGTTTCACATCTGAGTCTGTAGAAAAGCTCTGCTGTGTTGGTGAGTTCCTGGCTTTAGAAGGTGATTAGCTGAACCTTTCAAAAAAAGTTACGATCACCGCTGCTGTTCCTGGTTGTGGATATATCAGAACTCTACCCTGGGATAGCAGCTGACGGATCTGCTGCTTATACTGAGAATGTGTCAACAAGGCCTACAGATAGTGGCAGCTCAGCTTCTTGGCAGTAATACAGTTAAACAGAGGCCTGAAAATTCTGATATCAAAGTTTACTTGATCAAAGATCAAGGATGTTGGTGAGGCTCCTGAATGGAAAAAAAAAAATTGTGGAAGGCAGCTTAGAGTTCATACTTGCAAGAGACTTTGAGCTTCCTTCCTGAATATCTGATCTGAGAGGTCCTAGTATTCCTTCTGCTCCTGGACGGGGTTTTGGCAGCATCTTCATAGCAACTTCATAGTTGCAAGGCATATGTAAACGCTTAAACTGTTAAATGTTGTTGTAGGGTAATTGCAGTTCTACTTGGCACCTGGGACTAGTTCTGCTCATACCCTGACATGACTTAACGTCCTCACACAAAGCTAAAGCTCATTACAGGAACAAACTCCTGGTTTCACAGCTGACTTCCTCTGAAGCATGTGATGAAAGAAAGAGATGCACAGAGATAACCTTTCTCTATGCCACACTGTCTGGTGACTCAGCTCCCAGGTCAGATCTCAGCTAGTTCTGCAGACTGTCATGCTATGCAACTTGCTCTTTTCTCTGGGTGTGAAGTGTGTGTTAGTCTTATCAGCAACGCAAGATGGTATGTTGGTTATTTTATTAAAAAAAAAAATCTTTCATGATCATCACTTTGCATCACTAAGTTCCAAAAGATCAATTAAGAGAGGTGGAACAATTTCCAGCAGTAGGAGTTGTTTCACAGAGAAATTGCTGGAATCAAGTAGCAGGCAATGCCTGCCTGTACAGCCATCTGAAAGCTGAAAATGCAATATTTGTACAGGGGCTGTTGTCCACTTGGCACCAATTGCAAGTGGTGTATTTATCCCTCCTTATTAAAGCAAATTGGTGTTAGCTCTTAATATTTTCAGAGTACCTATCACCCAGTGATCCTGGTACAGAAATAGCCCAGCTGCCTCCAAACTAAAGTATACGAACAAAGGCACCAAAAAAAAAAAATTTGATGGAGATGCAGTCTGTACCAACAGATAATGCTGTTGTCTTGTCTGTAATGAAACAGATGACATAGACGGGTCCGTTGTTCTCCTTCCGTACCTATTGGGGCAGTTCAGAGTTAAGTGCTGCATGGGAGAGGCTCCATCTCCCTTTTGCTGCAGCCTTCCTCTGCAGCTGATTCTCTTTGCTTTCCCTTGACTAGAGTAGCTTTTACTTTCTGACATTGCTCTTTCTATCGCAGCTGTGTTTTGCCAATGCTAATGAAAATAATCAGCAGGCTCCCTTTGTGGCCTGTATTTCTTATCTCCCACTGTCTTCCCTCTTA